CTTTCCCTAAATCCAGATGATCCAAATGTTTGTAGTCATTGGGAAAGGTAATGTAAAACATGCTTTTTTAAACTATTTCAAATTTTTACATTAAAAAAGCAAAATAATTTGCTGAGTATTACCCTCCCTCACAGAAGAACACGGATTTGCATGATGGAAATAGTGCTTCTGAGTGTGTTTGAGGGTTTGGATTGTCCCAAGGAATTGGTTCTAAAGCTAGAGCCGTAGATCACATGCCCCTCTGTTACCTGTGTGCTCAGCTGTGTTTTGGAAAGCTCCTCCATACTTTTGGCTAGAGGACCGCACAGACATATTTATCATGGAGAGGTCTAGAGAAATGGTGGCCTGTTCTCTCTTTCGTTGTGGTTGTTGTTAAGCAAGACTACTAAAGATTTTGGCTGAGTTTCAAGGCCTTCCTGCTGCAACACGCCAGCTTACTCTGCATGTCCTGAACTTTGTGGCTCTATCGGCCGAACTTGTGTCAGCATCAAAGAGTATCTGCATGAAAGGGCTCAGAATTAAAGGCCCTGGTAATTCTTGTTTTATCTATTGTTACAGTGCCCTCGTCCTAAAAGTGGATCTGTGCAGGACAGTTCTTACGAGTACTTAGAAACTCGCTGGCTTTGATAGGGTTCACATTCATGCAGGGTCTGTTTGCAGAGGCTAAAGTTCCTGTGCTCTTGAAAGTTTAACTTGCTAAATTTCCAGTTCTTTTCTGGGGTTTGGTTCCACACAAATATGAATTACTGTTCACTGAAGCAAAATAAACCCTTTAAGAAGAGCAAAAATGGAATCGTACTTTAATGGCGCTGTTTTAGTTCTAGAGGCCTTAATTTGAGAATTAACTGTTTGTAGGTAGTGCAAAGCAAAGATTATACAGGAATAGGATTTTGCAGTCTGTGTTGTGCATTGAAGTGCATTCAGAGCACAGGAATAAAATATTGATTTTGTCTGAAGAAAGTCAGCAACCTAGGGACCCAATCAAGGAGAAACAAAAATTAAATACCAAAATTGATTGGTTGTACTGACCGGGATGACTTTGTTACTTAGATGTTAATAAATCAAAGGGAAAAAGATTGTTAGAGCAATTGCTGGATAACAAACAGGATCGTAAAAAAATAATCAAGATTTGTGACTATTTCTGGTTTGCATTAATAATGTGCTTTTACATTTTGGTATTAGCAGAAGTAAAAATGTTATTGTCAAAGCCACCAAGCCATGATGGAGGGCGAAAGCAACATCTAGTAGCATCTTGCCTTGTCTAGAAGGGGCATGACAAGCCGGGCAGTGATAGTCTGGTCTTCGATTTTGAGCCAGTCAGACCCTCCAAGCAAATGTTTTGGTGTTACCTTATGGGTGCAATCTCACAGGGCTTAATCACATCAGCAGTGCCACTGATGAGAAGGAAATCACTCGAAGGATTAAGACAATCGATATAACGAATTACTTGGAGGGTCTAATTCCCGGGTCTTGACCCTGCCTAGAATGATTTCAGTATTGTTCTCCAAAGATATTGTTGGTCTGATAAAGCAGAGCTTGTTTGCAGATCAGAACCTCAGATTATTAAAACATGGCACTTTTTTTTTTTAAATTTGTGCTATCAAGTTAACCAAGTACCCTTTTTACCTTCTAACCTACCATGTATTTTAGTAACATTTATTTCCAGAAGGGAGTGCTTTGTTGCTCAGATTGAAATTGCTGTATTTCAGTTCTGGAGCCCAAGTTAGAAGCATTTCCAAATTTTTTTTTTTGGTTGAAGGAAGCCTTTTCCTGGTTTTTGATAATACCCAAAATGTCTAAGTTTATTGATTTAATTGTTTTTCATATTGGGGTTAGCGTATACAGGGAACTGAAGCTTTTCATGTTGCAACAGCGTTTCACTTTCTCTCTTTGTCTACTCCTAGCTATGCTGTGACAGTCCAGGAATCTTACGCTCATCCTTTTGATCAGATCTATTACACAAGATGTACTGACATACTGAACTGGTTCAAGTGCACTAGACATAGGTAAGAGCTAAGCCCCAGAAATTTTAGTTTTATTTTGCCTTTTTATCTCTTCACCTTTTATTTATCCAATTTTTCACATGAGTGTTTTCATATGAAAAGATGTATTTTAGTACAGTAGCCAGGATGTTTGACATTCTAGGGCACTGATTCAAGTAGAGAGATTTTTTCATGAAATTTGCATGAGATCAGTGCAACCTGCACCAAATCCATACTGAAAATCAGGTGAAGTGAGGATGGATCCGTTTCTAGCACTGAATGACAGCTGATACCCAACAGTTAATTTTTCCCATGCTGCAAGATACCATTGCTGTATTCATTCTGATTCCAAGTATAAAAGCGTGCTGATAAACACCCACTACTATTTGCAATCTTTCAAGGGAGTTTTAGCAAGCTGGTTGGTACCTTGACTTTCATGCAACCAGTAGCAAAGAGGTTGTTCAGCACTGTCCTGCTCTGATTGTAGGGGTTTACTTTGTAGCTTCTGGGTTGCAATGTACAGAACTGAACAGAGATTCTGAGCTTTCTGGACTATTGTGTAGATTGGAATGCAGTGGAGTAAATATGATCAATTTATCTAACATAAAAGACAATAGATTTTGTTCAGTTGACGTAATTTCAAATCAACTGAAGTGTTCGCTCTTAAATATTCTCTGCTAAATATTCATTTTCCAAAGTGGTATGATTCCTAGTGCTATGAGTAAGTCTAGAAAAGCTGCAGGATGCTTAACGCCTTTTAATCTCTGTGGACTATGTCTTGTGGTGGGGAAGACGTGCTTTAAATACTGAGCTGGGACTATAATGTCGTCTTGCCAGGCGTTAGTGTCTTGGAAGGGTTAGCAAGTAGGAAGAAGTCACTTGGGGTTAACTTCACATTTTGTGGTAGTTTCTCATGTAGCATGCTGAAACAGTGGTCTCCGTAGAAGATTCTTTTCATTCCACTGATGATATGTAGAAAGGAATCATTTATTCCTGTAGAAGCTCCTTGCACTTGCTTTAGGACTGGGGAAAAGTTTGAAGGCAGCAGTCCTAGGAAGGGCTACGGTGATTGACTGGCATGAGTACTGTGTTTATAATACAACTTGTATTTCAAGTTTCAAAACAAGAATTGATTTCTTTTTATTGTGGCTCTTAATATCAAAAGCTTTCATGAATTTAAAAATAATTATTGAATGCTATCCTTACTATAATTTAACACAAATATAATTCCAACAGTATGCATTGATTTTCAATATTGTCAAATGGCTTTCTGTCTTGCAATTTAGAATAAGTTATAAAACAGCATATCGAAGAGGACTGAGAACTATGTATCGGCGAAGATCTCAGTGCTGCCCTGGATATTACGAAAGTGGAGACTACTGCATACGTACGTAGAGAGCTTTGGTTCACATGTGGCAATTAAAAGTAATTTTTGGAGGCACCGTAGACAAATGAAAGATGTGTTGCAGCAGTAGTAGTAAGGGATGATTTTCAGAGCTGCTCAGGACCTTCAGGCCCTGCTGATTTCAGTCAGAATTGCAGATACAGAACATTTCAGGTAATTTCAGGTATATATGCATTTCAAGCGCCTAAGTAAAATTTTACTGAAATCACTGGGGAGGGAATTAATCAATTCCCCAAATGCTTTCTTGAATCAGACCTTACTGGAGGGAGTAGTTTATGCAGGTGTGCACAAAGCTAAAGAATTAGGGAAACGGAGAACACTCTTAGGAATAAACTATTACATAGCTTAAGAAGCAGCGTGAAGCTTCTGACTCTTAACTTTAAAAAGTTCTTATTTCAGGTGAGAACAGTTAAAACCTCATTGTGTTTCACATGGTTTCTGTCAATAATTTTGCTCTTTTTAAAGCTTTGCAAATGTCAGAATAACTTGGTCCTAATTGCACTGTGGAAGTAACTAAAAAGCTCTGGAGTGTGTTAGGTCAGTCGGAGGGAGACAAAAAGCAAAATGGATCTTTCAGCAACACCTAAGAGCTTTGCTAATTAAAAATGTCCAGTACATTAGTGTCACGGGTTTTCAGTATTGTTGTTTTAAGTATTCTGAGACAGAACACATTTGCTAGGCTTTGTTCAAAAGGCAAGTGGAGCTGGGGACCTCTTGTCTACATCTTGTTAGAATGGGATTATGACACAAGATAAACACAAAGGGGCTTTGATCAGCATCAGAATCCAAATTTTACTGCCAGCTTTAGAATGCCATAGAACAGTTTAAATGTGAAAATGATACAGTAATCCAGCTAACTGGATAGCTTGACACAAGCTATTTCTGTGTAGTTCTGTTGGTATCTTTATCTGAGTACATACATTGTAATTATGTTGTGATATAAGAACATCTCAAAAATATGAATGGACCCTAATCCCATTTTAAACAACCTTATGCCAAACAGTTACTTTAAAGAGGCTTTGGACTGTGAAAAATGACCAGCCGTTGGAGATAAGGCATCAGAATTAGCGTTATTTTACGGAGAGAGTAATAGTTTGCTCTTTTGAAGTGTGAAGTGCAGTTCCTCAAGTCCTGAAAAACATTTAATGTAACCTATTGTCTTTGCTAAAATCCTTTCTATGTTCCATATATACTTAACTTTAAATTTCTCAAGTGTCAATGTAATTTCGGCAGTTGTTCCACATACTTTTCTTACCAACTTGAATTCTGTGACTCAGAATCCCGGCTGGCACAGAACACATTTCTTTTCACTTTTCTCTCTGCAACCTATTGATTGTTTTATTTTTTAATTGCCGTACTGGTTGCAGCAACAGGAGATCTCTGCAGACTTTCTGATTCTTTGACAATATTAACATTTATTTTAAAGGGCTTTTTTGTTAGTATTAATGCTCAAGAGTTCTGCTGTTTTATCTTTATATTATGGAGAGAGAACATCATACACCATACACCAAAATTTTGCTAAGGCAGAACAGACAGCAAGCATCTGGTCAGACCAGGGCTTTCATGCTCGACCCCGGTGAAGATCATACTTCCATTCTGTTTATTGTTCATGTGTGCAAGAGACAAGTTCTTAGATTTCATTATCCGCGTGGTCGTAAATGCAAAGTTCATGCCTCAGGGATGTTCTCTGTCTGTCCTCTTTCCTGGGAGATCTGAGCAGCAAGTGCAGCTGAGGGAGAAGTGACATAAAGGAATAAGCTCCCCATTAGAATTGATTCTAAATACTTGGTCTGTTGTTTTGATACCACAAGTAGCCACATGGCAAAAAATTCCCAGCCAACTAAAATCCAACAAAGCAAACAAAAAACCTTGTCAGAATTCTCTGACCCTGCAACCGACAGTTTGAAGGCACGACACTATTTAGCTGGCGTGATCCTTTTCATGTCATCCCTTTTGTTTCTAACACATCAAGGCCTGGCCCCATTAGTTTTGGATAGTTTTGCTTTTCTACTGTATGTTCCTGTGCCAACAAGCAAATTCTCCCATTCATTGTTCTTTTGCCATCAGCAGTCAATTTGACTTCATTCCTGTCGGCACCTCTCTGCATTTGCCTCTTTCCTTACCTTCCCGTTTACATTTCTTTGTTTTCTTTAAGCTGCTATTTTCCACTGTTTCCTAACAAGGCAGCATGTCCCACGTTCCTCCTGATCCTTTAATGGCAGCTGCTACAAGAGAGAGGTCAGGAGGCACCATCAAAAATCATTTCCCTGGCTGGTGCTGTCATAGGGCGGCGTGGTTCGGGGCTGAGTGTGCTTCTGCTCAGCCCCTCTGACATGAAGCTCCAGCCCTGCAGAGAAGGTTCTCCCTACTCAGCCTGCCCTTTAAAATCTATTCCATTAGCGATCGTGGAAGCCACTACAACGCGGGGAGGAGAGAATACATCCCGCAGTGAGCCTGATGATCAAAAGAAAGTTTGATTAAAAAACAGTGTGTGGATTAAAGGCTAATTGGTTCTTCTTTCATTAATAGCAGTCTTTATTTCTTGCAAAAGTTAAATAGCTTTGTAATTAACAGTGACAAGTTTAGACTAGAGAAGGCTGAGTTTAAATCTCTGTTAATGACTGTTTCTTGGCTTTTAAAGCAGGAGTGAAGGCTTTCAGCTACTGTTTTGATCTTTTCCCTTTGCATTTACTATTTTTTAAAGGAACGTCAGATATGTTTTTATCTTTGTCCTCCTGTTGGGACTTACTAAATAAATTAGGTCTAACAAAATATACCCTCAGTTCTAACTAATCAGATTGACCCAGAGCTTCTTGCTCTGACACTCTTCCTCTGGTGTCTTCTTCACCTTTTTGAGATCTATATATGCTGCTGCCCCATAAAATGTTGAATTCAGGCGCAAGGTCAAAGAATTTTGGCCAAGCTATTGGAATATTTTTGATTGTAACAATACTCAAAAAATACCACCTGAAACATGCTGCAAATGCACATCTGCATTTTTTTTTCCACTGATGTCTCAGAAATGGTTGCTACAGTTCTGCTAGTTTTACAAAGTGATTCCCCCTCTCTTTACACATGGCATAGCTTTTCACTGAGCTGTCCCTGAAAACAAACAGTGTAGTCTGGGTAGTAAATCAGAGCAGCTATGATTTACTGTACTATGTATGCTAAGGTAAGCTTTTGGCAAAACAAATGCATAAACTGTAGAAAATCAGTTTTTAAACAAGCTCGGACTTCAAATGTTCTTCAAGGTTTTCATAAGGATGTTTTAAAATTATATTGCCTAGATTGGTATCTGTGGTAGATAAGGCATCTCTGAATACTTTGCTTAAAAAAAAAAAAAAGAAACTGAATATTACATGGCTTATTAGTGATTTTTACCCTTTGAGTAGATGGTAATTGAATGCTTCCCTTTAAGAATATGTCAGGTGGAAAGATCCCCTCTGCACTAAATGGATACATTTTTGTCTGAGAACCCAATGCCTCACTCAGTCTGTCCATTTTAATCTTATTCTTGCACAACAGATTTATATAAAAGAGACTTTTCCTCTAGGTAACAAAGGGTCAGAGACCCAAGCATCAGACAAAAAGAAGACGGGACTGCAAGCAGCATCTACTTATATCTGACTTCTTGGCAGAAAAAAACAACCATGAAACTCCAAGTTGGGAATTCACCTTTTCTTCATAGATTGAGATATTTTAGCGTTTAACAGTTTTATTTTTCAGTCTCATGCTTACACTCTTTTTCTAATGTATAAATCTATGCAATGTGACAGGAGGTAATAATGAGAGAATTAGTGATTTAACAATCTTATTTGCTGCCATTCATGTGTCATTCAAACCTGCCAAAATTCAGTAGAGTTACAAATTGACCATTCCATGGTTCCTTCTTTTCTTGACCAAGATATTATTGATCTCAGACTATTTCTCAGCGTCCGCCTTTCCACATCACTACTATGACAGCTGTCATCAGGGCTCCTTGACTTTGGCAAATATATAGAGAAATTCTTGGTCTCAGTGATTGAATCTCATTTTGTCACCTAGAGTGGTAGCTCTCTCAGACCAGAGGTTAAGCACCTTGTTATGTTCACACGTAGTTACTTTCCCATCTTTGCAGCTAGCCTGTGTCTGAGACCTTTGATGAATTTTAAAAACAAGTGAGGAATATTCTTTTACTAGCTGAGCTGATGAAATTATGCAAATTTGGGACCTGTTTTTAAATAATACTTCATAAATTCCGTAATTCCTATAGACATGCCAACTTCATAGTATGATATATGCTTTTATTTCATAGCAGCATGAACATTCATACCTCAGAATTGCACTCAGATTTACAAGGCTGCATGTCTAGAGCAGGTTTTGTAATCTTTGAAAAGGCTGCCTCATTGGAGCCATATGGCTAAATTGTTAAACATCTGTACCATAGGAGTAACAATTCCAAAGCTTCCTGCCATCTGGATGAATTACAATACTTGCAATTCAATGCATATGTTACAACAACACACCGACACCGCCGTGGAGTGTACTTATGATGAAAAGAAAAATAATAGCTTATGTGATCGGTGCGAAAGTTCTGCACTCTTAGAAAACGTTGAATCAGCAGCTTAAACTTCCTGAATATTCATAGTGTTTGTTCATATGTCAGACTTGTTGATTATTTTCACTCTACAAGGCAGTAGCTCATTAACATTTTAGAAGAAATGTTGTCCCCCCGCTTCTCACCTCAATTTTAAATTCCTCGTGGTGAGTGCTCCTGTAACTTGAAAATATATTGTTTGAAAACTGCTGGACTTAGGAAATACATTTTTCTTATCTTTATAGACACACATTAAAGCTGGTGCAAGTGATTTCTGTAAGAGCCTTACTCTTACATTATTCAAGTACAGCATTCTGTACATCAATAATGCAAGATAAATTAAGCAAAATGATGTAACAGTACATAGATACTTTGTATCAGGGGATGTTCTTTTTCTCTGTCTGAT